GCCCCAGCGCTTTCAGCCTTCGCAGGCGTCCTCCCCCCACAGGCAAGGAGGCACTCAGAATTCAGAGGAGGCACTCAGCATTCACCGCTCAAAGAAACGGGTCCGGCCAAGTGGCCCCAGGTCCCGGCAGGGCAGAGCTAGCTGCGAGAGTTCTCAGGCTAGGGGAAGGGAACCATTCCGTATCCGCGACCTGCCGTGGGCCCCGAGCTGGCGCTCGCCGGCCCCCAGTGCGCTGGCTCCAGAGGGAGCCGCTCAGGGGCTGGGAGGTACCCGATCAGGGAGTCAGCCGAGTCACCAGGGTGCTCCACTGTCTCCTTTGTGTCTCCCTCCGCCGATCTCACGCCAGTCCCGCAATAGCTCTCACTTCTACTGGCCCACCCTGAGCAGTCCCAGTCGCCCGCGGCAGTTTCCAGGTTAGAGTTCTCCACTCAGTAATCACCTCCTCGTTCAGGACCCACTGGGTGCCAGAGACCAGCTTCCTAACTGCCTCCGGCGGTAGCCCAGCCCAGCTCCTCCCCTGTCCGGTGCAGTCCTGACACGGAACTCCGGGAAGTTCAAGATGCTTCCCGTTCCTGTCTCGTCTCCGCTGAGTCCCACGTTTCCAGACCCAGTTCTACATCCACTTCACACAAGCCCCTGCCTCTCCATGGGCTTGTAAGTCAGTGGGGGGAGCTGGACTGTCTCGTGAGGGATTTGTCCCTGTGCACTTACTGGCCAGCCTGGCGCCGCCATCTTGCTCTCTACTCTCTATTGTCTGTCGGCACTTTCCAGGTTTTGTATTCCTATCTCCCGTTCGCTTTATTCTTTTTCCTGATTTGCGTATCCCCCGCTGAATCTCCACTGATTCACCTCGCTGTTTTCGAAGGAGAGTGATCCGATCCTGTGTAGCAGACCGAGATCTACCTCTCCCTCTCTGGAAGCAGGGATTTGGGAGGCTACCCTAACTCAGCCATTTTTTCCCATCCCATTATTTATTTTTAAAATAAGTTTCCTGTCCGTGTTTCACTGATCTTCAGAGCAAGGAAATACTGTCAAGGCTAGAAGACCCATCAGGAGTGAGATGAAGTAAGGTTGCTTTTATCACTAGTTTGATTTAGGAAACTCGTCTGCACCAGTTCAAGTGCCAACCACACTATGTTAGGTACTGTGCCAGGTCCCTCATAACTGCATCGATATGATATATTTCTCTTTTTTTCTGGAATGGGAATTAATACACACAAGTTTATTTTTTTTAATGTTTTTGGGGGGTTATCCCTGAAGTCATATCTTTTTTAAAATTTTTTTTTTATTTCAGAATATTTTGGGGGTATAAACTTTTGGTCACATATATTGCCTTTGCACTGCCTGAGTCAAAGGTACAAGTATTCCCATACCCTAGATAGTGTGCATCGTAACCATTAGGTGTGAACTCACCCATCACGGCCTCCCCCCTCCCACCTGCCTGATCCCCATGAATGTTACTTCCATATGTGCACATGAGTGTTAATCGATTAGTACTAATTTAATGGTGAGTATGTGTGGTATTTATTTTTCCATTCTTATGATACTTCACTTAGAAGAATGGTCTCCAGTTCCATCCAGGTTAATACAGAGATATTAAGTTAACCATTTTTTTATGGCTGAGTAGTATTGCATGGTATATGTATACCACATTTTGTTAATCCACTCACGTATTGGTGGGCACTTGGGTTGTTTCCACATCTTTGCAATTGTGAATTGTGCTGCTATAACCATTCGAATACAGATGTGTTTTTTATAGAATGTCTGTTTTTCCTTTGGGAAATACCCAGTGGTGGGGTTGCTAGATCCAGTGGTAGTTCTACTTTTAGTTCTTTGAGGTATCTCCATACTACTTTCTATAAACGTTGTACTAGTTTCCAGTCCCACCAGCAGTGTATGAGTGTTCCTGTCTCTCCACATCCCACGTAAACATTTGTTGTTTTGGGACTCTTTGATAAAAGCCATTCTCACTGGAGTTAAGTGATATCTCATTGTGGTTTTGATTTGCATTTCACTGATGATTAGAGATGTTGAGCATTTTTTATGTTTATTGGCCACTAGTCTGTCTTCTTTTGCAAAGTTTCTGTTAATGTCCTTTGCCCACTTTTTAATGGGGTTGTTTGATTTTTTTCTTGCTGATTTTTCTGAGTTCTTTATAGATTCTAGTTATCAGCCCTTTATCGGATTTATAGCATACAAATATTTTCTCCCATTCTGTAGGTTCTCTGTTTGCCCTAGTGATTATTTCCTTGGCTGTGCAGAAGCTTTTTAATTTGATCAGGTCCGATTTATTTATTTTGGTTGTTGCTCTGATTGCTTTTGGGGTCTTCTTGATAAATTTTTGGCCAAGGCCAATGTCTATAATAGAGTTTTTCCAACATTTTCTTTTAGAATTCTTATAGTTTCATGCCTTAGGTTGAAGTCTATTATGCATCATGAGTTGATTTTTGTGAGTGGTGAGAGGTGTGGATCCTGTTTCAGTCTTCTACATGTGGCTCTCCAATTTTCCCAGCACCATTTATTGAATAGGAATTCTTTTCCCCAGTGTATGTTTTTGTCTGCTGTGTCAAAGATCAGATGGCATTATGAGGATAGGTTTATATGTGAGTTCTCAGTTCTGTTCCATTGGTCTATGTCTCTGTTCTTATGCCAGTACCATGCTGTTTTGGTTACTATAGCATTGTAGTATAGCTTGAAGTCTGGTAAATTGATGCCTCCCAATTTGTTCTTTTTGCTTAAGGTTGTCTTGGCTATATGGGGTCTTCTCTGGTTCAATATGAAGCACAGAATTATTTTTTCTAGATCTGTGAAAAATGTTGTTAGTATTTTAGTAGGGATTGCATTGAATCTGTAGATCACTTTGGGTAGCATAGATATTTTAACATGTTGATTCTGCCGATCTGTGATCATGGTATGGTTTTCCATCTGTTTACATCCTTTGCTATTTGCTTTATCAGTGTTTCATAGTTCTCTCTGTAGAGGCCTTTAACCTCCTTCATTAAATATATGCCTAGGTATTTTATTTTCTTTGTTCTGTTATGAAAGGTATTGAGTCTTTGGTTCCCAGCTTGACTGTTGTTGGCCTATATAAATGCTACTGATTTGTGTACATTAATTTTGTAACCCGAGACTTTGTTGAATTTTTTTTTATCAATTCCAGTAGTCTCTTGACAGAATCTTTGGGTTTTCTACATACAAAATCATATCGTCAGGAAAAAGTGATAGTTTGGCCTCCTCTGCCCCTGTTTGGATACCTTTAATTTCCCTCTCTTGTCTGATTACTCTGGCTAGGACTTCCAGCACTACGTTGAATAGAAGTGGTAATAGAGGGCACCATTGTATGGTTGCAGTTCTAAGTGGGAGTGCTTTCAGTTTTTCCCCGTTCAGTATGATGTTCACTGTGGGTTTGTCATATTGGCTTTTACAGTTTTGAGGTATGTCCTATCTGTGCCTATTTTGTTAAACATTCTTATCATAAAAGAGTGCTGAATTCTGTCAAATGCTCTTTCTGTGTCTATTGAGAGGATCATATGGTTTGTTTTTACTTCTATTTGTGTGGTGAATTACATTTATAGATTTGCATATGTTGAACCATCCCTGCATCTCTGGGATGAAGCCCACTTGGTTGTGATGGATTATTTTTTTGATGGGGAGCTGAATTTGGTTTGCTAGGATTTTGAGAATTTTTGCATCTGTATTCATAAGGGATATTGGCCTGTAGTTTTCTTTTTTTGTTGAGTCCTTTTCCTAGGTTTAGTAACAAGGTGATGTTGGCTTAGTAAAACGTGTTGGGGAGGATTCCTTCCTTCTTGATGTTATGGAATAATTTCTGGAGGATAGGTACCCATTCTTCTTGGTAGGGCTCATAAAATTCTGGTGTAAAACCATCTGGGCCAGTACTTTTCTTTTTTTGGAAGATTTTTTATTGGTGCTTCAATTTTTTTACTTGATATTGGTCCATTCAGGAATTCTGTTTCTTCCTGATTGAGCCTAGGGAGGCTGTGTGTTTCTAAGAATTTGTCCATTTCCTCCACGTTTCCAAGTTTATGTGCATACAGATTTTTACAGTATTGAGAGATGATATTTTGTATTTCCATGGTATCAGTTGTGTAATCTCTCCTTTTTATTTCTGATGGAGATTATTAGAGTCCTTTCTTTTCTGCTTCTGGTTAATCTAGCAAGAGGACCATCAATTATTTTTTTTTTTTTATCTTTTCACAGAACCGACTTTGTGGTTCATTAATCTTCTGTTCGGTTCTTTTGTTATAGATTTCATTTAGTTCTGCTCTGTTCTTGGTTATTTCTTTTCTTCTACCGGGTTTGGGAGGTGTTTGCCATTCCTTTTCCCATTCTTTGAGAAGATTCATTAGATTGTTGATCTGTGATCTTTCTGTCTTTTGAATGAATGTAGGCATTTTTGGGTGTGAATTATTCCTCTCAGGACTGCTTTGGCTGTGTCCCACAGATTTTGATAACTTGTGTCCCCTTTATCATTTAGTTCAAAGAGTCTTTTGATTTCCATCTTTACTTTTCTGTGGGAGGTTATATCTGTATAGCTAAAGAAATACAGCACATATGTAATTAACATATATGAATGCATATATGCATATATATGTGAGAAAGATATATACAAAGGTTAAAGTATTTTTATTTATAAATTCTTGATATGGGCATAGCTATCTTAATATGACCCAGATTTGGTGATTTAGAGTGTTAGATATATTTTATTAAAACTCTTTTATATAATAAATTTTATTTATCAACGTAGTGCTCTCAGTGAGCATTCAGCATAAGCAGTGTAGGCCTGAAGAATTTTAACTATGGTACTGTTAGACCTGAGCTGAAATAATTTTTGTCATCTTGGTTTGTGAAATAATGTACATACTCAAAGGACCAAAAGCTCCTGATTAAAATATGCTAAAATAGTTACATCTTAGATTTTTTCAGTGAAACAGGAGAGCTCTTATATGCTGATCAGTATGTTGGACTTTTTAATTCAGATTTTTAAAGAGCGAGAAGAAGATCTGAGGCGTTTGTCTCGCCCATTGGAATGTTCTTGCTTCCGAACATCTATCTGGGATGAAACTCTCTATAAGGTGTGTATGGTTCCCTGAGTTTTCTCATTTTGAGAGCATGAAAAAAAGCTAGAAGGGCATTAACAAAACCAAAAGATTTTAAACTATTTCATAGCCATCTAGATTTGTTGTACTAAAAAAAAAAAAAAAGAAAAGAAAAAGAAATAATCGACAATAAATTGTTTGAAGAATATCAAACTTTATTTGATTAAGAGATTTGGGTTTTAATCTTAGATTGGGTTGACATAGCTACCAAATCACACTGAATTAGCCAGTTTGGTCATGATTAATTTGATACTGATCTTTTGTGATAGCAGAGTTTTCACTTGCCATCATCCATTTTGACCTGTTGTGGTCTCAGTGCTGATTGGAGTTGTGTCTCGTATTCAGGTACCTCTACGTGATATAAACTAGTCTGCCTAAGTTTGGATGACAATAGAGGAAAAATATTTAGGGGACAGATTGGGGAAGGGAATTTTAGAATGACATGTTTTGTCTAGAGGATGTTAGTGTCAACTTTCATGCCAAATCGAAGACCAGCATTCTTTCAACCAGAAGGATTATTCCCATTGCTGGAATGGATACCACACTGCTTGCACTAATTATAGAGGTTACAAGAATAGTTGTGTTATGGATGAAACTGAAATTACCTTATTGGCACATAGGCTCCCATCCTGCTTCCTTCCTTTCTTCTACTGATCTAGTGATTTGAAGGACTGGCTCCTTTTGGGTCTTCCTATGGTCAGAGCTTTCCTTCAGACTGTTTCTGGTATCCATTGACAAGTCTGACTCTGGGTGGGAAAGCATCCTTTTTTGTCACTGGTAGCTAGAACCTCAGTATCAACGGCATCTGACAAATATCTACAACCAGAAGCACAGAAACCTGACTTGCCAAGGAGAAAAACCATTGGACTTTAAAAATAGCCATTGCTTTTTTTTTTTTTAACTAATTCATTTTTCCCCAATATTATGTTGACCCAGCCTCACTCTAATAACAGATCATTTTGAGATACCTGTCTAGGAAATACTGTTCTAGATTAATATGGGCCGAATTTCTCTCAAAGCCTTATTCCCATAGAACAGGTAACCGTGAATAAGGATGGACATGACGCACTGATAAGAACCAACTGCGGTGTGAAGGATGGCAATACATAACACGACCAAAGACAATTGGCTAATCACAACACTGCTGTGAGTGACAATGTCTCTGCTGTGGTTAGCTTTGGTGCCTTCTCCAAGGTAAATTCAGCAGTGACATTAACACCGACCTGGGAACTTGGAACCTGAACCCTTATGCCTAAGTAATAAAACTAATTGGAACAGAGACATCGCACTATTATCTCTTACATCAATGTTGCATAGAGCTGACTTAAATTTTTATATTCAGTTTTATTCAGCAAGCACTCATTATATATCTGCTTGATGCTGTTGAATACGCAAATGACTTAAGACCAAGTTCCTGCCCTCTAGTAGGGGAGAGAAGAACAAAGTTCACCTAACCAGACAAATTGGAGTGAGAGTGAAAGAAGTATGATAATGGAAATACAAATAAAAGAGCCTTAAGAGAATAGAGGGAGGGTGTGGTTAATTTCAACTGCTTACATTAGTCATACTCCTCTGGATGAAGTCAGTTTTAGGCAAATACAATGGACTATTTTTAATTCAATTGGGTCAGTAATTTATATAGCTGACAACAAATCTTTGGGAATGATAATACCACTAGTTTCTCTTGTAATGGTATATTATCACATTGAGGGTAGGGGCCATTTGTCCATATGGCTCTGATGTTTTTACGAAATTGATTCTTGGGTGTATGTTAAATATAGCATTATTAGGTTCTGATCTTTAGAGAAATCTGTACTGTTGGACTTAAATATTTGTTGAATGCCTGCATTAGAAGCTTTTTAGCACAATAGATCGTATTTTTCAACGTTTTTTTCTAAGGCAACATGATGGCACACAATACTTGTTTACTTTTTTTTTTCATTCCACTGTCTTTATTTTTTTTTATTTCAGCATATTATGGGGGTACAGATGTTTAGGTTATGTATGTTGCCCTTGCCCCCCCCACCCCCCTAAGTCCGAGTTTCAAATATGTCCATCCTTCGGGTGGTGCGCATTGCACTCTTTGTGTATGCAAATACCCCTTGTTTACTTTTAATTATCAATGGAAAGAAGTTTATCCAGCATTTTACAAAAGTGTTTGAACTAAAAGCAATTCAACTCAAGGATAAAAATAAAATATTAGCTTCATTTTCTCATTTCATTCGTGTTATATTGAATGTCAATATTTGTTTGGGACTCAATTATCATCATATTTTGGTATCCATATATCATAGTTTACTTACTCATTTGAAAGGTCTAGGAATAGTTACCTGTTAGTAATAGTACACTGTGTTTCTGTTCTGTTAGGCTTGGTCCAGCATTGTTTATCAGCTGATTCCCAATGTTCAGCAGCTGGAAATGAACCTAAGGAATTTTGCTGAAATTATCGAGGCTGATGAAGTACTTCTGTTTGAGAGGGCTACTTTTCTGGTAAGACCTTTCTGCTTTGCAGATGTACTTTGCATTGTAGCTTCTTCTATTCATCAGCAGAGAACAGCATGTTGCCACTTTCAGGAAGAACCTTTTTCCCTCTTGTCGACTTGAGCATGCAAAGCCTTATTTATAAAGTAATATTGCCAACAAGTGACCCGAAAAGAAGTGAAGTGAACTGAAAGAAATTCCTTTGGTGTATAGCTCTTTAGTAGTTAGTAAAACTTAATTTTTTGCAGGTTATTTCTACTAATAACTATTCATTTGTGTTAAAGGATTCCTATTTCCTATTGACTTTTATTATGAAATGTTAGATATTTTCCTTTTGAGAAAACTCACACCCCACCCATTTTTCTCCAAAAAAACTGAGTTGAAAACTCAGTTTAACTTCAGTTTAACATGAAGGAGATGTAATGGTCAGCTTGGTGACATAGCTAAGAGTTCAGAGGGAGAAGTAGAGGGGGAAAGAAGCATGTTGCTATTTTTATTTTTCTTACAAATTGAACTGAATAACTATAATAGAGCCTACTGTTTGTACAGCCATGGGGGGGTACAAAAACCAATATTATATGTATAAATAAATTTTTAAAATAGCAATGATAGAAACTAACTTGAGATGTCACAATGCACTATGTAAGTAATTGCTAATCGGCTTAGTAAATGTAACTCTAAGAGCAGTTCCCAGTAAATGATTTGTTTCTGAGCTCTGCCAGTGCTTGGTGATTTTAGAAACATTTCTTTTCTTATGCATTTGTGTGTGTGTGTGTGTGTGTGTGTACGTACTATTCTGGTGATAGCCCCTACTTAAGCCTTATACAAGGTATCCATGAAACAAAAACATTTGCACCCCTTTAATATTTTGAAATTTAAAAAATAGTAAGATTTTAGAAACATTTCTTAATCTCTCTGAGCTTTTCTCCTCTTCTATAAAATGAGGATAATATCTATATTCATGGGCCTGTTGTGCAGATTGAAATGGGACAAGGTAATGTTAAACATCTAGCACAAGCCTTGGCATATAGTTGGCAAACTATTAAACATTGGTTCCTTTTGCTATTATAGCAACAGAGGACAGAGAATCCGAAGTACAATTATCCCCCTTCCTTTGTGGAAACTTTATTTGTAACCACAGCAGTATTTGGGAGCCATTTTTCCTGCTAGTTGGTATAGTTGAGGCAAGAAGTCCTAGCTAGAGTGTCTTTCTGCCTCAGCCCGCTGGCAAGGGGTCACTTGCTTGGAATTGCACTACCATGAGCCTTATTTTTCCTACTAGTGTGAGTAGCAATAGGCAAGTAAGCTGTTCTGTCTTTCTTGATGTACATGGCACAATAGAATCCTGCATTGGCAGTATTTGTCTGCCATGTCCGCCACACATAGTGGTAGAGGTTAACCTAATATAAGTTCTCTATTCCTCACTAATAGTAATAGGTAGCTTTTGTTTCTCTTGAAAATCAAATTTAGGTGTGGTTGACCATTTTCACTGAGGGGGGTAAAGTCAAACAAGGAGACTTGTTCTGCCACTGGTATAGGAATTACATTTTGAAAGTTGTACATTGTCTTAGGGAATTTCCCTGTGAATTTTCTGTTGGCAAATGACTCAGTTTTGCTTCCTACTAGAAACTTTGCATCTGTGTATTCAGCCTGTATGTGATATTTGCATGTTTTCTTTAAAATATGAAAGTGTTGGGGGAAGTATTTTCAACTGGTGTGGGTGTCCATCCTGAATAGGTTCATTTATAAAAAGTTAGTCCTCGGGGATTGGAATCATCTAGTTAAGCTTCTTAAATATAATTCCAAAAGCTACCTGGTTATACCCTTTATTAAAATTAAATACATTAAGTATGCCTCAAGAACAGCTAGGAATTTTTATTTATTTTCCTTTTTGATTTGTAATTTTTTTAATCAAAGAACCATCATGTGAAATATTGAAATAAAATAAACATTTAATGATTAAAGTAAGTGGAAAAGAATAGCAGTGAACCAAAATAGGTAGTATTTAAATGATTTAATAAAATTATAACCAAATGGTACTAGATGGGTCATCTGAATGGATGTTGAACTCACATAGAATGTTGGCAGAATATGGGACAGAGGAGAAGAGACAGTAAGCCAGGTGCCAAGTCTACCCTGAAAACCAGGGTGACCAAGAAACTGACAAATGTCTCCTTTGTGGTGTAGCAGAGGATGATGGGACTATTTTGTATGGATTCAAAGGACAATATTCTTTTTCATAGGTGATTTCTCACTATCAGTGTAAAGAGCAGCGTGATGCCCATAGGTTTGAGAAAATCAGCAACATTATTAAGCAGTTTAAGCTGAGCTGCAGGTAAGAGATCTTGTAGGTGTGATCTATTTATCTCTGGAAAAAGAATTATTGTCATTTTTGAGAAGTTCAAATAACAGTTGACTGTACCTTATTCAGAATACTTTCTTCAATCAAAAAGAAAGGTAAAATCTAAGGGAGCCTATAATTGACTAAAGTGCAGGTCCTTGTCCTTTCCTGCAAACTCAACTGGTATGGAAGAATCATATGAAAAATATCCAAGCATAGTACCCTTTCAAGATGTTTGAAATAGTATTTGGGAAGAAGTAAACAGAGAATTTCCCAGAGTGTTTTGAAAAAAAAGAAAGGAGAATTTGCCTTACTAAATACCAAAATTTACTATGAAATTACAGTAACTAAAATAGTGAGGTACGGATTGAGAAATGGTACAGAATGGGGAGTCTAGAAATGTTTAACCATTTTATATCAGCTTTGATTAAATAAAATTTGAATCTAACATTGAATATAGGAAGAAGGAATGGCTGAACAGCATAATTTAGTAAAGATTTAATAATCAAAATTCTTATCCTGATAAAAGTTGATGTCTGAACAATAGGTATAAATTTACTCCCTTTATACCCTAGCATACTTTGAAACTTTCTGGAATGTTTATGCTAACATTTTTAAGAAGAAATAGCCAATGACAAGCAAATGTAGTTACTTTGGGTTGTTTTTTTCTTTCAAAGAATGGGTTCATTTCTTGAATTTAAATGTAACATCGAAAAGACATAGGTATTAATCTCAATAATAGGAAAATTTCAACTTAATACACTTAAATATCGGAGAAGTCTTTTGTAACATGATTTTTAACATGGATCTACACCTAAAGTCATTTTCATTTCATAGTCGTTATCAAGTTCTAACCCACTTTTCATCCTAGTCACTTTCCAAAACATGTTAAATTTAGTATTAGAATTTCCTTGGAAAACAAAATGGGGTTAGTGATTAACTATCTTAATGAAGTGCTGAATTGAGATTTAATACTATAAAAATGTTTAACATAAAAGATAAGAGCTTCTTATATTGTTATTAGTTTACATTCTTGAACCATTTTTCTCCTTTCTCCTCTAGCAAACTGGCTGCCTCTTTCCAGAGTATGGAAGTCAGGAACTCTAACTTTGCCGCTTTCATTGACATCTTTACATCCAACACTTATGTGATGGTCGTGATGTCTGATCCATCCATTCGTAAGTTTAAACTTAGCTGACATAGGTTCAAAGCCACATATTCTTTAAGCATTTGCCCTGGAGGTAGTACTTTATTAGGTAGTTAAAAACTATTTTGTGGTGGGGATGGTTGCACAACAATGTGAAGGTACTTAATCCCATTGAACTGTGTGCTTAGAAATGTTAAATTTTATGTTATGTACATTTTACCACAGTGAAAAAAATTATGTTAGTACTAGTAGTAAATAGTTTTTTAATTAATAGACCTATATTTTGAAGCTTAAAAATAATTTGGTCTCTAGGGTATTATGTTTTCCCTCATGGGAACTTCAGAAAGCAAGTTACTAAATCCAAGAATTTTAAAGAAAAGAGAACCCAAATCCGTGATTTATGCTCCATATAATATATATTTTTAACTCACAACTAATGGACGCAGTGAGCATCATATGGGGGAAGGGCACACCTCTAATCTTGGCTTGGATGGGGCCAAGTCATAACATGTAACCAAAATGTTTGTACCCCCATAATATCCTGAAATAAAAACAAAAAGACTAGTCAATATAAACTCTAAACTGTTAAATGCTGAACCATTTTATATGTCATTGCATATTCCTGTGTACCAGATTTCCGTATTTCTGTTATGGGAATGAAAGAAAATGTTTGGTGCTTCTCCCTATATGATAATAGCCATGGCTACCCAACCGTTGAAATAAAGGCTCTTGCAGTATTTTTAGGATGGTCCCAGAAGTTTAAATTATTTCTTATCCATTGTCTTTTCCTACTTTAGGTTATTATTAAAATGTAACATAAGATCATGGATTTTATGCTATTAGCTCCAAACCAAAAGATTTTGGAAATTTTGTGTTTAGAATATGAACAAATCTTCTGCTTATTCAGAAAAATTAAATCTTGGTAACTTGGGATTTCCTATTCCTGTATGTTCTCTGTGACATACATTGAGGGATTTGACTCTCTTCTGTTTGTTTTTATTAGTCAGGCATTCTTTTGGCTGCCATACTTATTTTGTTGGTGTCTCCCCACCCACTCCCTCAGCTTCTGCAGCTACTCTGATCAACATTCGCAATGCCAGGAAACATTTTGAAAAGCTGGAAAGAGTGGATGGACCAAAGCAATGTCTTCTCATGCGTTAGACGGTGCTGAATATTGTTTCACACAAGAAAAACACTGTTTCTTAATGTTGTATTCATGTATGTAGGCTCTGAAATGTTGCGATGCTTACCATTTGTGTATTTCTTCTCTGCTCCTCAGTCTTAGCATTTAACCTTGAATACTGTTTGCTTAAATAGCCATTGAGGAGTTAGAAGATGAATTGTTCATGACATTGTTGTAACATAAAAGTAGTTGACATGTAAGTGTTCTGATAACAAGATTCTAATAATGTTTAAGTGTTCTGATGACCTGGTTCCAATAGTTGTGTATGCCAAAACCTTTCTCAGCATCGTCTTGTAGTCCTTATCAGATAGTAAATAACCTGTAAGTTTGGAGTATTACTGTTTTCTCAGCATGCATTAAAAACATTCCTTAACTTCAATTGTAAATAAACTTTTGATGTTAGGGATTTCAGTGCCTCTTTTTCTTTTCCTTGTTTCTTCAACTTTTCCCTCAGAAAGGGCAAAGGAATTCCACAGTTATCCTAGGAAAAGGGGATCTGTTGATTGGGAAAGAGTACAAAGTAAACTTGGATGGGAAGGACAGAGCCATATTATAGCTAAAAGCTAGGCAGAAGAGTTTATATATATGATATCTAAATGTGATAAGAAATAGGAAAGCATTGTAGGCTTTTGAGCAGGACAATTATCTGAAAGCAGTTTTGACAGAAAATTAACCTAGACTGTATGGACTGACTGAGGGAAGTTGGGAAAGCCCTGGTGATAATCCAGGCCTGAGGTATGTTGAAAGTCTGTTTCAGGATACAGCTGGAAAAGGGATGAATAAAAAGTGGAGAAAAAATAGATAGGACTGAGTTCCGGAAGTGGTTAAATTTATATATTCCATAACACTTAATGAGATGTACCTTCATTATTGTAGTCAAGCAGTATTAAAATCTTTTTCTATTACTCAATCATAAGAAATGACAGTGATCTAGCACCACTTACACTTTCCTGGATTAAACTTGAGCCCATTATCCAAAGTGGGGCACCACAAGAGCAGAAGAACGGGATCCATTTGTACTCACCACCAAATTGGTATTAACTAATCAACACATAAATGCACATATCAGAATAACATCTATTGGATGCTGGGGAAGGGGGAGGGCGGCGGGAGGAGGGGGGAGGAGGGAGGAGGGGACGGGTATTTGTATACACAAGGAGTGCAATGTGCACTACCCGAAGGATGGACATATTTGAAACACGGACTTGGGGGAGGGACCAAGGGCAACACACGTAACCTAAACATCTGTACCCCATAATATGCTGAAATAAAAAACAAACAAAAATAAATAAAAATTGTATTAAACTTTATCTCCCAAGGAAAAATGAAACATTGTGAACTGTGAGAAATGAAGTTTGACAACACTAACTAGAATTACTCAAAGCCTTAACCTTTTCAGTTTCCATTCATGTGATAACAGAACACAAAAACATTTAGGAATCTACAGCACAGTAAACTCATCTCATTTGTCCTGTCTCCATGTCATAAAGAAACTTATTCCATACCACAGTCTCCTACCTTTTCCCATCTTATTTTATTATCCCCAGTTGAGGGATAAGTAGAATTTTCACTGAGCAGCAAAGAACATGTTTTTTTGGACATCATATAGACTAAAAATCTCAACTCTTTAAAGAATTTTGGGACTAATTTTATCAACGTAAAATTGGTAAAATTATGAGCAGGGGAATTTCTGCAGGAGGGGAGTTTTAAGTAGATGTTCCAGATTCTTTATCCTATTAGCATCTAGGAAAATGAAAAGAGCAAGTGAACAGGAGGCTATTATGTGATCAGTATGAGTCATGATTTGGCATGTATCATTATTCGGCAAAAAACCCTCCAGCTTGAAGGATTTAGGTGAAACTTAAGCAGTTTGTTTTAAAACTTTTAGGGGTTTTGCCCCTGAATTCAACTACTGCGAGCAGTTACAGCCTCTACTTCTCTGGGGCCATTTCAAAATAGGAGGGAGAAAGTGTGTAATATTTTTAGGTCTCCCATAACAATTCTTTGCATAGGCCAGTTTATGACTTCCCACTCAAATTCCTGACTTTTCCTTATAAAACAGGAAAGTTGTCAGGGTCCTCCTGTAGTCCTCACTAATGAAATTTCTGACCTCATTAATTTAGTCAAAAGATTTTTTTTTCAATACCTAGTATGTTTCAGACACTGTTTTTGGAGCCCAGGATACAGGAGTGAACAAAACAAAGCCCTTGTGGTCATGTAGCTTATATTCTGGTAAGGGGAGACAGACAATAACCAATTAAGTAAACATACTATATTAGGAGAGATGAGTGCTATGAAGAAAATTAAAACAGTGAAGGGGGAAAGTGATAGTAAAAGAGTGAAGAGGCTATTATAGTAATAAGTGAAAGATGATGGTGGCTTGGCCAGAATGGTAGCAGTGGAAGTGATGAGAAGTAGGAGGAATCTGGTTAAGTTTCTAAGGGAGAGCCAACAGGATTTCTTGAAGCATATAAGAGAAAGAGGAATCAGATAACATCAAGGTTTTTGGCTTGAGCAACTGGGTTGCTGGAAGTGGCTGAGACTGAAAATGCTGAGGGAGAACTTGGCTTGAGGAAGAAAACAAGAGGTAGGGATTTTGCACATGGTAAGCTAGGAAGATATACAGTCATACACTGCATAACAATGTTTTGGTCAACAACAGACCACATATATGACATCAGTCCCATAAAATCATAATGTAGCTGAAAAATTCCTATCCCCTAGTGAGTCATAGCCATTGTAATGTTGTAGTGTGACACATTACCTTTTCTATGTTTAGATAAACAAATACTTATCATTGTGTTACAATCACCTAATGTATTCAATACGGTGACATGGTGTACAGGTTAATAACCTAGGAGCAATAAACTATACCATATAGCCTACGTGTCTAATAGGTTATACCATCTAGGTTTGTGTAAGTACGCCATGATGTTCACACATGGAATTGCCTAATGATGCATTTCTCAGCACATATCCCCACATAAGTGACACATGACTGTATTCTCATTTCTCTAAAAATATGAGAAGTTGAATTGGATAACTCCTTAGACTTACTTTCAGCCTTGTACATGCCCTTAATATTGATTGGCTGAATGCCTACAGCAATAGTAGCAGCTAATGTATACTGATCTGTCAATAGGTGCCAGGCATAGGATCTAAACATTCTTACATATGGAAGTGGGTATTGTTATTATCCCCATTTTGTATGAAGAGACTAATTTGCACTATAATCAAAAATCCCTCCAAACTTAGAACTCTGTCTTGTAAATGAGTATTTTATAGTTTTCAAATTAGTTTCTAATATGTTGTCTTTTTTGTTCTTCCCAACAATCTTGTGAAATGGATAGGGAAGTAGTAGCACAGTTTTTATAGATAAGACAAGTGAGGATCAAAGAAATTGAGAGTTATCGTAAGTCACAAAATTGGGGAAGAGTGTCATTGAGACTCAAATCCAGTTCTTCTGATTCCAAACGAACCTCACCTATACCTGCTATACAAACTTGCTCTAAGACAGCAATGCCCAATAGAACTTTCTGTGATGATAGAAATGCTCTGTATCTGTGCTGTTCAATATGGTAGTCAATGTGGCTGTCGAATAATTGAAATGTGACTAATGAAATTAAGCAAATAAATTTTTTATTTAATTTTAATTAAATTTAAATGAATATAGTCATATCAGACAGTGCAGCTGGAGAATAGGAATAAATCATTAAGAAAGGAAGACTATAGGAAAATGTTACTAAGGAATTCCACATCTCTCCATATTACAAATAGACCCTGATGAATTTTTTCCAACTGTTTCAAGGAAAGTTAATCCTATATTATACTATTTCAAAATGTAGAAAAGGATGGTATGCTGTCCAGCTTGATGAGACAAATAAGATCTTGATCCCCAAACCCAAAAATATACCACAAATGAGAATTTCAGGCTGATCATAACTTATGAACATCAGCTATTCTAGACAGAGTGTTGGCAAACCACACATTGAAAGTATTCTATATGATCATCAAGGAAAAGTTTCAGCTTGAAATTTTTGTAATGGGGTGATTATTTGAATATATAAAATAAATTTAAGCTACATGGGAAAAAAACACCAAAAGGACAAATAATGTATAACACAACCAAATAACAGAGTAGACAAACAATCTAAATAGTTGTCTAAGTTTGATATCCAAATTTTACTTGGTAGTTTATAAATTCAATAAGTGTTTATTCCAGGCCCCTCAATAGTTGTGATTGGCAGCCACCATGCATTTTTGTAATCCCTTTCCCTTAAGTGTAGACTGGATCTAGTGACTCTCTTCTAATAAATGGAATTTAGCAAAAATGATGGGATATCACACCTGAGATTAGGTTACAAAAAGACTCTGGTTTCTGTCTTGCTTGCCCTTTCTTGCATGTTTACTGTGAATAACTGAGGAACTCAGCATGTCCTCTGGCAACAACCAGCAAGAAACTGAGACACCCGTCCAATAGCTCGTGAGGTTATTCAATCCTTTGAACAACCACATGAATGAGTTTTGAGGCAGATCCTTCCTCAGTATAACCTTCAGATGAGACCACAGCCCTAGCTAACACCTTGATCGCCAGCTTGTGAGAGACCTTGAGACGTTTAGGCAAAGACACTCAGCTAAGACTCACCTAGTTACTTGACCTTTAGAAACTGTGAGATGATAAATGCTTATTGTTTTAAACCAGCAAGGTTTTTTTTTTCAGCTTCCTCCCTCAGAGAAGAAGCCATTAAGTTTTAGTGTAATTTGTTACACAGCAATAAATAACTAATATACTAAGAAAATCAAAGATTGGGCTCTGCCTCATGAGGGAGCTTCCTCTCTAGTGGGAGAGAGAATGCATGAGGCAGTACACAAAGTATATCTTTATGTAGAAAAAAATGCATTGCCTATCTAACCATCAGAAATACATTTTTAAGATATCATTAGGCCCCTTACAAAAAAAGGACAAGGCTGTTGTATACTTGCATGTTGATGAAAGCTCCAAACTGGTTATTTCTGACAAGTGATCTGGCAAAAGTAATGTTACAAAATTTTTTCTACCCTTTGATATGGTAATGATTCCTTTTTTGTCAAGATATAGTAAGAAAACACCCAAAGTGTGTTTGGGGGGTTTAGGGATAATTTTTTAAAGATGAAAGCTGCACTACAAATAATAGCAAACAGTAGGAACATTTCAAATACCTAATAGTTGATTAAAGATGTATATCTGATACAGCAACTTGAGTATCATATTGCCTAGGATTACATTTGGCTGCAGATAACAGAAAAATCCCAAATAGGAATAACTTAAACAAGACTTTGTTTTTTCCTCACATAAAAGAAATTTAGAGGTAGACCTTCTAAGACTTGGCTCTGTAGTAACCAGAGACTCAGGTTCCTTCTATCTTA